TGATTCTTTCTCAGCTGTGCCTTTCACACAATGCTGTCTCACAAACCCCAACATGCTTACACTTCCCTTGGGAGCCTAATTAAAATGAAAATTCCTAGTGCAGTCAGGACTGTGTTTCTTATACACTCCTGGGGGTGGCGCTGTTGCCATGTCACTATGCAGCACTCTGTGTCATGAGGTTCTTTCCTAACTGCCCATCTTGCAGTTCTATCACCTCAGGCCAGCACCCATGTCCAGCCCACCAACACTCTAATCCTACACTGCAAGTTGTCTCCTGCCATAGTGCCTATTTAAAATAAATTTAATTAAAAATTAAAAGTCTGCTCAATAGCCATGCTGCCATGCTATACAGAACAAATCCAATTTTCTTCTTTGCAAGATTCCATGGGATGGTGCCTCTTGACCTTATCCACCTAATGTGATTCCTTTGAGTACATTGACTGTATCATCTCCAGACTGTAAGCTCCTTCAAGCCCCGTTCCGAGTTGATCTGTCATTTTTTCCATCCCTAGAATCTCATTCACACCCCCTCTTCCGTATTTGTTGTTCCTCCACTATGTAGCAAGTGTTGTGCTGAGCCCTGGGAGCAAGTGGTGCTCAGTGGTGAACAAGACAAATGTGATCCCTGCACAAAATAGATGCTCTGGAATTATTTACTGGAAAGAACAAATGAATAAAAATTACACAAACCAACCTCAGGGAAATCTTCTCAAGGACTTTGAGAATTCTCCCCAAACCAGAAATCTATAGTAATTTGTCCCCACCTGCAGAATAAAGCCCCAGTTCCACAGCTTGGGACACAAAGCCCTCCTAAGAGGTGGAGTGGCACCGTGGTTAGTACACTACCCATGCTAGGACTGCCAGAACTAAATACTGTACCACAGACTGGTGTCTAAACAAGAAAAAGCTGTTTCCCATAGCTCTGGAGGCCACAAGTTCACCATCAAAGTGTTGATGGGACTGGTTTTTCCTGAGGCCCATCTCTTGCGACTTGTGAGTGTCTTCTCCTGTGTCTTCACATGGTCTTTCTCTGTGCCTGAGCACTTCTAGTGTCTTTGTGTCCCAATGTCCTCTTCTTATAAAGGCATCCATCACATAGGATTAAGGCTCATCCAAATGGCCCCATTTTCATTTAATCACCTCTGTAAAGGCCCTGTTTCCAAGTATAGTCACATACTGAGGAACCGGGTGTTAAGATTTCAACATACAATTCGGGAAGGACACAATTCAACCCATTACAATTAGAAAAATGCCTTTGGAATCCAACAAAACTGAGTTCCAATAAAAGCTCTGCAATTCAGGACTAATAACTGCCAATGAGAGGATATGCTACTCATCTGAGTCTGTTTCCTCACAAGGTTGTTAAGAAAATTACTTATGTGAAGCATCTAACAGAGGCCCTTAGTTAATTGCAGACACGGTCACCATCACTTACCACCACCACCCCACCTCCTCCCCAGGAGCAATCCCTCCCTACTTCTAGTCCCTGAATACAGGGAGTCTGTCTAACCATGCTTTGGTTCCCATTCCTGTTCTTCTCTTCCTAGGAAAATCCTAGTCTCCCTTCCTGGCTGGTTCTCTGTGCAGCCTGGCAAGCAGAGCTCAGCCCCCAGCTGCTCTCCAAAAGCATCTTGTCAACTCCACACCATCATCCAATTATCACCTAGCAATTAAAACCCCACATTGTTAATTTCCCTGCACACACTGACCTTCCCAATTAGAGGGAGGCAATTTTTTTTAAATAAAAGCCCACTATTATGCTTTTTAGCTTCTCTCTCACAACATCTCTCAAGGTGTCTCACACATGCAGGCCTTAATCAACCTGAAGAATTTGTGAAGACAAAAATACTTACTGTTGTCCCTCCTTACCTGCGGGGGATAGATCCCCAAATCCCCAGGGGATACCTGGACTCAGGGTAGTATCAAACCCTGTATACGAGGCTCTTTCTCTACATAGATGCACAAATGCAATGCCATTCCGCCTGAACTAAGTATTTCTCACATAACATGGCTGTGACTTTTGCATCTTAAGGTACAACAATAAAACTAGCACAAATTTCTTTTTCCTGCTGCACAGTTTCAGAGAGCTTCTCTTTGGCATATCTAAACAGCCAATGTCACTACTCCTGTGCTTCAGAGCCATTATTAAGTAAAATAATGGCTTGAACCCTAACACTATGATACTAACAGCTCTCAAGCTGATAACTCCTTAGTTACTAAGTGCCCAATGGGTGGGTCGCAGAAACAGTGTGGATACCCTGGACAAAGGGATGATTCGTGTGCATGGAAGGGACTGAGCAGGATGTTGGAGATGTCATTGGGCTACTCAGAGTGGCATTCAATTTAAAACTTATGAATTGATTATTTCTAGAATTTTCCAGTTGGTATTTTCAGATCACTAATGATTGCATGCAACTCAAACTGAGGAAAGCAAACTATGGCTAGTAGGGACTATGGCTGATATTTACTGATTGAATGTGTGTGTGTGTGTGTGTGTGTGTGTGTGTGTGTGTGTGTGTTGAGCATAAAGAAAGCATGAGAAACAGAAACACAAAATACACAAAATCCAGCCAGCTGACTTTTTCTTAAGGTGGATTCAACAGTGTTGCCAGTGTTTGTTCTGTTTTTTAAACTGTGTGGCAACCACATGACTATTTGTTAAATATTGAGAAACTGTATTTCATTGATTGATACATATCTGCTGTTTCTAAATGAGCTTACATACACAAGTAATGGAGAGGAAATTCTCCTGACACAAGAAAAAGTACTTAAAATATTTGTCTTAGGAAGAAGAGATTTAGTTAGAATTTCAGAGTATAACTCAACAAACTCTTTTAATTAATATTTTATCTAGAAGGAAATATTTGTGAGACATTACCAGCCTTATAAATTCAAATTGAATTTCTATAAATAGGAGAAAAATAATTTCCTGTCATATTCTGAAGTGTCATAGTCTAAAGAGAAAACTTTAATTGTGAAATCATCTCTTGCCAGATGAAAGAAAGTAAGAGAAGCAGATAAAAGGGGACGGAGAAGGTGGGTCTGCACACTAATTAACAGTGGTAATACACACAAACTCTCTGTTGCTTTCTAGAACCTACTCATCAATTTTCAGATAATGAAAGACACACTTAGCACCTTTCAAAGCTCCCTGAGTAGTTCTGCAATTTTGTCACCTATCCTCACATGCCGTCTATGCTCTAGACTTTGGCTACCCTAAGTTTTCAACATCCAGTTAGGATTAGAATCTCCCTACTTCTCATTTTCAGGTCTAGGCTGAGATCTCTGTCTCCTGGTTCAGGGTCCCATCATGAAGACAGCATTTACATAGTAATATTTCCCAGACTACCCTGTTTTATTGCAAAATCAGCCAGTTCCCCACATCAAGGCAGAAGGAATATTATGGGCTTTTTACTTAATCCAAGGCCACTCCTGCTCTGGGACAGAGCACCTCAGCAGGACTCAATAAACTCTTAGACTGGTTGTGAACTGGACCTCAGAGATACACAGATAAGCTTCTCCCAAGAACCAGGAAATCAAGGTATTAAACACTTTCTTCTGAGTGTGCACCAAGACAAGCAAAATCCCCTAAGGAGACAGATTTCCTGGTTAGTCAGGACCTACTGCAACCACATTGAGTACCTAGCCTCTCTACAGAGAGGGCAGAGGTTTGTCCAGGGGGGCAAACCTAGCAGGATTGCTCAGAGCACTGTTCCCCAGAAGGGGTCAAGGCCATGGGCCATGAATGCTGCTTTCCACCATAAGGACAGACTTCATGCACTCCAGTACTGGTGGCATTGTCATTGAATAAGCCAGTTTCCTTTTTGTCATCATTCACATGACAAGTTTTCACCTTGGAGCTAGGTGCTGGAGATACATACAGGACCTGGGCTGTGTCTGCCCCTCAGAGGGGACACTTACTCAGGGCCTGGAATTGGGGTGTTGAACCCATAAGGCTGGGTAACAGATGTGGCCAGAGCTGATATCACTAGGTAAGACTGATAAGACAGGCCACCCTGAAGTGACCAGAACCCAGAGACACCTGCTGGCCCTCCCTTTGCAAGGTAAGATGGGGAGGAGTCCAAAAGACAATGCAGGGAGGTAGTGAGGCCACCCTGCCATGCCTAGGAATGGTTCAGCTACCACTTGTCTTTCGATGAAGGATGTTTTCCTGCTGTTCTTACCCCGCCACAGGTCACTGTGCTGGGGAACAAAGGGCCTAAGCAGAGAGCCAAACACAGCAGGCCATCTTCCATCTCTGGACCTTCATCTCCAGCCAGAGGATCAGACCCCCAGACTCCTATCCCAGCCACAGGAGAGAGAGCCGTCAGGGTGGGGATGCGTCGCCCAGACTGTGGCTTCCCAAGGGGATTGTCCCCACCTGCTGCGCTCCATCTCAGGAAAGGCACGGAAATTCTGCCAACCGCCCCCTCAATGGCATGGCATGGCAGAGTGACTGAGCAGCTCCTCCAAGGCTCTGAGCCAGTATTTTCTGCCCTAAGAGTTTCTTCTGTCTGCTGCACCGCACCCTCTACACTCCCGCACGCAGGTACTCACGCGTGCACGCGCACGCGGGCGTTCCCACACGTGCACGGGGCGCTCACACTCGCGCACCCGCGCGTACAGGTCTCTGCCCCGTGCACCTGCCTGGCCACAGCCCCCCAGCACCGCCAGCCTGGGTACAGCAGGGAGGTGGCTCGAACCTGGGGAGAAGGAGGGACGGTGGGCAGGGGAAGGGGACTTAGGGCTGCCTGCCTGCTCCAGCTCTCTCTGCCTTCCTGGTCCTCCTTCTGACTCCTTCCGAATTGAGCGTCCCGGGCTCACAAGCAGCCCCTGCCCCACTCCCACCCCCCTTCCCGCCCCCTCCCGCCTTCGCCTGTGGCCCTTTAAATCGCGTTATTATCCAGAGGGGGGCAGAGGGAGGAGAACCCTGGGAGACAAGAGGGAGGCGGGGAGGAGAGGAGGGATGGAAGGAGGGAGGGAAAGAGAGAGCAAGAGCGAGAGAGCGAGCGCCTCTGGCAGCTGTCTTGCTTGAGAAAGGGAGTGACCGAAGAGGCTGGCCAGTGAAGGGACAGAATGGTTCAGACGCCTCTGCCCACGGGACCCACGACAAGGGAGAAACTCTAGGCTTCGGCCACTCTGCCGGGTAATGGCTGAGGCTGGAGCGATTCCTTAAAATCCCCAAAGGCTCCCTGCACCGTCTCTAAGGGACATCCCAGAAGTTAGCATCTGCCAGACTTGGAAGCTCGGATCTCAACAAGTAAGTTGGCTTCTTTTCCTCCTCCATTTCTCCCCCAGTACAGTGTTTCTGGAAGGCAGGATGGACACTCTGAAGGTGTGCATTACCCCAGCAGCAAGCTTTCACAGGGAAGCTGCCAGATTGGTACTGAGGGATAAGGAAAAGCTCCAGGCAGGTCCAAAGTTCAGCCAGGAAATTGGAGCTGTCCTTAGCATACAGCTGCCCTGCAGCAGGAGTCCACCCTCCAGAGGACAGGAAATATCTCTGCTGGTACTAGAGCAGGGAGACAAGGGGTGCCCCAAATCTCCCATCTTTGATTTGGGAAGCCTGGTCCCTGGGAGGAGGGCAGGAGGACACTACTCCCCTTAATAGGGCGGCAAGTTCAGGAGGGGGCAGAGAGGACCAGGGTTGGGTGGCAACTCCCTCGCCTTAGATCCTCAACTTAATCTTGCTTCTCTTTTAAGTCTGGCCAAATCGGAATACAGCCTTGTTATTTCTGCGCTCCCTGTCACCCTGGTCACTTCCTGCACACCTCCCTTCTTCTAAACATCTTCCATACTGTTCAGAAAGGCCGAAGTCGGGGTCCAAGGGAAGCAAACAGGGAAAGGGGAAAGGAGCCTTGTCCTGATCTTCTTTCCCATTTCAAGAGATCCGGGTTATGTCTGTACCTACCTCAGACTGCTAGGCCAGGCCACTGGGAGGGGCTCTCCTGCCCCTAGGCTGTAGAGCAGACTTAGGTCAGTGCTGGCTCTTCTGACTAGGTTTGGTACCCAAAGTTCCAGAGGCCACCCCCAAAATGAGGAGGGGGAGTGGTGACAGGTATAGGCTACCCAATACCCAGGCCAGATCTGAAAGCCCCTTCAGTGATCCATGGGGATAGGGAGGCTGATCAAGTACTTTATTCTCTTTTGATCCCTTCAAAGAAGCAAAGATTACCATCCTCATTCTGCAGGTAAGAAATAGCAGCCCAGAGAGGCTGTGTAACTTGCCTGAGGTATACAGCTTATAAAGAAAGGTTCTTGCCTGGGTCTGCCTCCCAAATATACCTTATCTTCATCATAAGCATTCAAGGGCTTTCTGATTTGCAAAGCATGTTCCCATGTGGGAAAGAGATAGTGAAAAACAGCTAGTCTTTTTGGAAGCAAGGTGCCAAGCTAGGACATGTTTCCTGAGTTAATCCAGACACTATACCTGCGAGGCAGAGCTTGAGTCTGGTTTTATAGATGAGATGGAAGCTCACAGAATTCTGAGCACCAAGTGGCTGTGCGGTTACCTTCTAAACCTTTGTCCTCTAGCTTCAAATCCAGGGTCTTAGTTCTGGCTTCCTGGATCCATTGCCTGTCCTAACATACAGCAGTAAATCCCTCAGCTTTCTGGATTCTGGCAGATGAACAGAGCAGAGCAAGTGCTGAGGCAGTTGGAGCAAAGAGCCCTAGTTGGGCTCTGACATAAAAAGCTTGTTCTGCTTCCCCAGGCTTGTAGACTATCCACCCAACCAGAGGTGCACCATTCTGCTTAGAGGCAGAAGGCATGGCCTTCAGTGGGAGTCCTGGGGTGTAGGGTGTGTGCTGTTTGGAAGCACAGCAGCCACAGAGCCACCATTGAAAGAGGGGCAGTATCACACAGAGAGCTTGCCTGCACGCTCCACACGCCCCTCAATCAGTTTTCCCTGGACTTGTTACATGGCTCTACAACAGAAAGGAGACCCAGCTCTCAGGCAGAGCCTCCCCAGAGCTGCTTTTAATAACAAGTGCTACCTAAAGGCAGCATTTCTTACTGAAGTAGCATGTCTGCATTGAGCAGAGAACAAGTGTCCTCCAGCCAGTAAACATTTCAGCTGGAGGAGGAGGCAAGGAGATAGAGAGTGCTTAGGAGATGACACACATAGCTCCCTCTCTCTAGGGCTGGCCCAAAGCAAAGCTGCCTTCTTTCATCTCATTGGGATTACCTGCACACATTGCCCTGTGGCTGCGGGCACATCCTGGACGGTGCAGAGTATATCCCAAATTTTCTCGGCCTTGCTGCCTCTGGTGCAGGCTGCATACCAAGGACCCTTTGGGGCTTTCTGTAAGCACTTGACTGGGCTTATTGTCCAGAATTTGGGAGATGCCCAAGGCTTCTCTGGTCATCTGTGGTGAAGTGAACCCCACAGCAGGGAAGAAATGGCTACAGTGCCCATTCTCCAGGCCCCATTTGCTCTCAAAAATGACAGAATTCTGTGTGGTCTTCTGTGGACAAAGCTACCAGCTTGTGCATTCATGCAACTGAAAACTGTACCTACTTCTGTTTTTATTTTTAAATCAGTTTAACCTCTATTTATTGATCACCTAGCATGTGCTAGGAATAGTTAATTTTAAAGGCTTTGGAATGTAATCATTTGGGTAGGCTTTTGCATTTAGGAGAATGTTAGCAAAAGCTTGCTTGGATTTTCTAAGGCAATACTGATTGGATTTCTTGGTGGTGGAGGGGGAGGGAGTTGGGGGGAAGTAGGAGGACAAAGGAGAGAAAGCAGGGGCCAGGAATCCATTAGGTAGTTCAAGGGAGCCAATTTTGGATTAAACTTTTCGCTGTGTGTGAACCATCAACTGGTCATTGGGCGCTGGCAGTGTTTCCAAGTGAGGACTTGTCATCAGAGGACTAAGACAGTTGTCAGCCATGTAGGAATTTTTCTGTGTTTTCTAAAAACAGAAGAATGGGAGTTCAGAGACAAAGGATTGTAGGGAGGCATCTGAATAAAAATACTTGAATGAAAAGGACTTGTAAAATGGCTTTCTCTGAGATAATTTTAAAGCAGAGCAGACTGAAACCCCAAAGGATGGAGTGGCTGGCCTCACTATCCAGTTCCTCCTACCTTGACATTCTGATAAGGGAGCTATTCTTGTCCACAGAGCCCAGGGTGGCAACAACCCTTGCCAAGAGCTGTGTTGAGTTAAATATCAGAGCCAAACCTTTAACACATGACCCTGGAGATCCTGGCTGGGACTTAAATGTTAAGTTCTATTGTCATTCCAGACCAGAGCAGGCTGGGGGCAAAGGTCATGGAGAATCTGATCAGTTGGCATGTGGCAACAGCATTTCCTGGTCACCAAGGATCATGGTGATCAGGAGGAAGGGAGACAGTTGGTGCAAAGAGAGGAGATGAAGCTTATATCCCTACCCTATGCTCTTCACTTGGTTGCTTGGGGCTGGGTATGCTTCCCGTCCCTCACCTTCTGTCCTACTTCAGGCTCCCAGTCTTACAACCAGGGAAGTCCAATGCCATCATTCTGTATTATTTTTTATGCTCAGAAAGAAAAAGGAACAAGGGAGAGGGAAGAGCAAGAGCCAAGAAGACCTCAGTTGCTGTCTGGGGCTGACCTGGATCTATGTTTTGTTCTTTGATTCTAACCCCCCACCACCCTCCCAACCCAGACTGTGCCCCTGAGCACTTGTCATTTAATTCTAGTGGTACTGTCACCAAATGAGGGATGAGCAGTTTCCCTCAGCTTCTCAGTTTGGACACAAAATCACAGGAACTTCAGATCCACACATGAAAAGAATTTGAAGGTGTCTTACAAGGTGGAAGTTTTAGCAAGGATTTATTTTAATATAACAGGATAAAAGGGAGAAATGGGGAAAGAAAAAGGAGAAACATTTCCTGCTCCCCATGTAGGAAATGGGAATAAAGACTCAAAATGGTGGTTTTTTTATACTTCCTGAGCTGGTAGAATATACGTGGTCACTGGTCAGTAGTCAAGCAACCCCTAATCATAAGACACTGGTTCTAGGTGGCCACATGGAGGCTCATTGTTACGGTAAAACATGGAGATGTGATCTAGGCCTACCCAAAACACAGGGCCCATAGGTGAGTTTCAGGACTTCTCTTTGCCAGGCATGCCTTCTAATTTTGTCTCTTTACCCATAAGTGGAAGAGTTTGCAGCTTCTTAATATCTGAAAGAAGAAAGCAGATACAGATAGCCCCTTCATGTCTTCCTATCCGTATAACTAAACATCTAAAAAGTGGTGGGAGGAGAACTTGCTCCTCTGATTTTTTCAGTTTTTACTTCCTGGTTGTACTGTCTGAGTCTGGCCCTTTTGTTTTTGGCGGGAATGGGGTTTGAACTCAGGACCTTGTGCTTGCTAGGCAGGCACTCTACCACTTGAGCCATGCCTCCCAGCCCAAGTCTGGCTCTTTTACGAGTTATTCATTTTAATCTCCCTGTCTCTTCATCTATCCTGCCTCAGGAGAGCAATGAGCATGAGGTTCTGCCTCTAGTCCAGAAAGGTTACCATCTCTAGGGCTAACACAAGCCATGTGTGTCCAGGCCTCAGGGAACCTTACAAAGGAAGGTTGCCATGTCAGCCAGCAACCTCACTGGACACCAGGATAAGAAGGCCTCTCTGGCCCAAGCCAGGTGGCCTCGGTTGCTTTGCAGAGTGCCCTTTGTCAGATGAACTTGAAAACTCACTCATATCCCTTCAAAAATATGTGTGGAGTCCTGCCTCGTACAGGCATCTGAGACAGAAGGTCATTTGCACACCACACCTGTCTCACCTTGGGGAAGGTGGGAGAGACAGACAAGTCCAGGAGTAAGTTACAGTCTAGGTGGTAAGTGCCCCTAGAGAGATGCACAGAGAGCCAAGACAGGCAGGGCTGGTTTTGCCAGGAGGCAACAAGCAAAGGCTTCCACCCAGCCTTGCAAAACAGATCTGTTGGTGACCAGGTGGAGGCCACTCAGGAAGTGGCTTGGAGAGGAGACAGCACAGTTTAGACACAAGGGAGGTGGGAGGGAGGCTGGAAGAGCAAAGACCGAAAATGCAAGCCTGGGCCTAGACATGGACCCTTGGGAGGTGTTGGGGCAGCCCGACCTGACCTCATCTCTTTGGGTCTCCCCCACCTCCTCTCCAGGGTATTCAGACTCAGACACATTTTATGTCCTCTCCTGCTCCTTCTCCCTCAGTGTGGCTTTTTCCTCCCTCTGCTTTTATCTTATTCTATTCTACTCTCAGTTACACCTGCCTTTTAGTGGCTCTTTACCTC